ATAAGAACCAAGAGAAACTATGTAAAGGTGCAAATTTCCAATGATGAATGTCATTATATTGTACACCTAAAATGTACCAATAAAATAAAATTGTTTTAAAATTTCAGTTCCTCAGCCCGACTGCCTTCCCCCTTTGGACAGGGCCTTTCTATGTTGCCCAGGCTGGCCTGAAACTCAAGGTCTTCCTGCCTCAGCTACCTGAGTGCTAGGATTATAGGCCACCACGCCCACCCACTAGCCACACTTGGAGCGCTCAGCAGTCACACAGGCCCGTCAGAGTGCACAAGTGGGTAACGGAATAATCCTGCCCTTCCCAAAAACTGCGGACAGATCCGCCTTCCCTGCTCCGGGGGCTCTCGCTGCACTCACTGCACAGACCACACCCTCCCCTTCCTCTCTGCTGCCAGGTGCAAATCCCACCTGCACAGATGAGTTGCTTTAGCTCAGTTGAAAACAATTTTCTATGCCTCAGTTTACACATATGCAAAATGAGGCTAGAAGTAGCAATTCCCGACCCTCCCATTGTTATATGGAAGGGTCTCATATTCCTGGAAGGCTTTAAACCCCAATAAATGTTAGCTGCTATTGTTACTTATAAGATGTGATCAAAAAATATACTGAATGTTTCAATTTTTTAAAAAGTAAAAAGGCACATTGCCATGAATCCCCTCAGTGTTCTTGCCATTTTCTGTAGCAGCTCTGCAAGTCCTCTTTCATCAGTGTCTAGCTGAGCTGTGACAAGTCACGCCGTGCCGATGCAGTGCCACTGTGGGTGAGGGTACACGCACTGTGTGCATGAGCTGCCTTTCCACTGGACGGCACTCGGCAGCAGCGCCACAGCACCCACAGGCGGGAGAGTTTGCATCAGCGCCTCTCTCCCCTCTGGCCTTTCCTCCTGTCCCCTCTCAGGGTGTTCATGCATCCTCTGTGGCATTAAAAATTATTTTAAAGAAAGAAACAAAAATAGCAGCAAATGTATCCAAACTAACCATGGGAATAAAAGCTTTCCACGGTGGGGTCACCTGCAGGCACCCTGACTCTGTCCTTCCTTTCCCTCCTAGGCGGCTCCCTGCACTTCCTCCCCTCTCTGCAGCCCACCTACCTCCCATCTGCCCAGCCTCAGCAGCCTCCGCCGTTTACTAAATCCGGGGGCCTTCTGTTGTGTTCCGCTTCGCTGTGCTTGGGCTGCTTCCGAGACCCAAGGAAGAGGACCCAGCTTCCTCTCCAGGCCTCTCGGATGCACCTTTCTCCCCCTCCTTCTCTGGCTGCTGCCAGGACCTGGCTAGGGTCTCGTTACCTCCTCTGATCTCTCAGATGGCGCCTTCTCAGGCGCTTCGTCCCAGTCTCCGGCTTCCCGTGCTTCCGCGCAGAACTGGCCAGGTAAGCTGTGGGTCCTGTGCAGAGGACAAGATGAGGTCTTGTCTTAGTCACTTTCCTCCTCACTGGGACAAAACACGAAGGCCCTGAAACTTGAAGGAGGAGAGTTTATTTTGGCTCACGTCTGTCGTCCACGGTGGGCTCCAAGGCAGGAGGGCGCAGTGGGAAGGCCTGGCAGAGGAGACGCTCACCTCGCGGCGGCCTGGAAGCACAGAGTCAGGGGAGGAGCTGGGAAGGGAGATGCACCCTTCCTGGCCAGCTGCCGCCTCCTAACACAAGTCGGCTACAATCCAGCCCCCTTCCAACACCGGAGGCTTGGGGGCCATTTTACATCTAAAGCACGACGGGCCCCTTCTTCAAAACGATGAAGAACTCCAAGTGCTTGACAGGTGAGCTTTCTGGGGGACCCCACCGCCCACGCCCAGCCCCAAACATCCCCGCCAGGATGAGCCCTGAGGGTCACTGCAGTAGGCAGAATGCCCCCATCCCTGCACTAATCCCTGGGCCGAGCATGTTCCGTCACACAGTGGAGCAGTCTGTGGGGGCAGCCGGGCTGCAGACCTCACGGAAGGGGCGATTCTGGCGCGGCGGTCTCTCCATCCACCTGGCTACCGTCTTCTCTCCGGGCCTCCCGTCAGACGCTGGTCTGGGTGCTGCTGCAGGCGCGTCCTTGGAGACACCTTAGCATCTCCAGTCCCACTCTGTTGTTCGGCCCTAAGTGAAGGAGTTACTTGAAGATATTGTGGGAGGCTCATGTCCAAGCCTGGAGAGGCCCTGGAGCCGCAGAGTGTCCCGAGAAGAAGAAACCTTGCTTCCTGTCTGCAGCCACAGCCCCTCAGCTCCAGTGTGGCCAAAGTCATGCAGTTTTCGTCCTTGAAATGATCCTCCCTACATCTGGTTCTTGTTGGCTTTGGTAGTGCTGGGGATCAAAGTCAGACAAACACCCGGCAGGCAAGTGCTCTAGCACTGAGCTACACCCCCAGCCCCACATTCGTCCTGTGTTAATAACGTGTGCAGCAAGCACGGCACAGCGCATGAGCCTCACAGGCATGCTCGCCAACAAGCCCGACGCCCGAGGCTGCACAGGGTATGAGTCCATTTATATTTGACGTCCAAAACAGGCAAAGCCACAGGACCGGGGAACAAGAGTACTGCTTCCCCCACGGGCTGGAATGGAGAGGGACTGGGCTGGGCGCTTCTTTCCACAGTAATGAAAAGTTTTAGAATAGAGAGAGGTAGCGACTGCATAACAATAGGACTCCACCACCTGCCACTCAACCGTGCATGATTTTTAGAAGGTGAATTTGCTGGGGATGGTGGTGCAGGCCTGTAATCTCAGCACTTGGGAGGCTGAGGCAGGAGGATCACCAAGAGTCTGAGGCCAGCCTGGACTGCATGGTGACTTCAAAGCCAGTCTCAACTGCGTTGATAGACCCTGTCTCAGAAAACCAAAAATAAAATAGTGAATTTTATTTTATGTGAATTTATATCAATAAAACATATTTGATAGAAGTCTTTAATTCAGGCATAGTATTTATCACTATTTCTGACTTTCTGGTGAGCACTCCGCCCCCTTGAGTTTTCTCGGGATTCTGAGCTCCGGCCCCTCCCCCATGCAGAACCCAAAGGGACCCTTCTAACACCTGCCCCTGACTTGGGGCATCTAGTCGAGTCCCATCTAGGCTCCCAGCTGCCCTCCAGCAAACTCCAGCCTGGCTCCGCCCTGCACTCCTCCGGCTTCCTGCCTTCTCCTGAGGCCCCTCCTCCCCCCAGGCCCCGGAAGCACCCACCCCCCTTCCCCACGCGGCCCAAGGGCGCGTCCTTGCTCTCTCGGGCCCACTCCTCTCCAACCCGAAGCCCCAGCCACCACCCAGCTGTCCCTGACCCAGGCCCCAGGCCCCAGGCCCCACTCCCTGCCCTGGCCCTGGTTCCAGCACAGCCTCTCTCAGGCCCTGGAAGGACCTTACTGACACCGGAATCTCACTGCGCTTCCACCATGGCACAGGTGTTCAGTGACCTGATGACTTCTACGGACGGGTGGCTCAGGGAGGGACCCTGAGTGGGGTCCTCCTCACACGAGGCCTGGGCTGTTCCTCACCTATCACTGCTGGGAGTCTCTCTCTCTCTCTCTCTCTCTCTCTCTCTCGCTCGCTCGCTCCCACCACACTCCCCCAGCAGCGGCTGCAATCTGGAAGAAATTACTCTTCTACACAGCCAGACTTCCCCCGTTTCAGGAAATTCCAAGCTGGGCAGGGAGGGGGGCTGGGAAGGGGCTGCCCCATTGCTCCTCCTCCCTCTGCTCTCCTCACGCCCAGTCCCGGCTCCTCCTGCCCTGGTCAGCAAGAGGAGCCTCAGCTTTGCCACCGCTGCTTTCTAGTCCTTCAAGTCCTAAAGGCCAATGTTTTGGGGATAAGGAGGCCTGGGTGGGGCCTGTGGCTTAAGTTTCTCTGCTGCTGGACAACAAACAGCAGGACTCCACTCCTGCTTGGGCTCCACCATGGCCCCTGAGAGGGGCTGACACTCCCGGGTGCAGGTAGGGAAGGTTCTGTCACTGTCACGGGTGGCACCAGGACTCCCGGGCCTGAGGGAGGAGGCTGGGCCCGGACCCCTGGGCCTGAGGGAGAAGGGTGGGAGCTAGGAGTCCTGGGAACTGAGAGGCAGGAGGTGGTCTGAGGCAGTGGCCCTGAGGGTGGATGCCTGGGCCCCTCACCCCCTCCCGGAGCGACTTGACACCTCATTGCCAGGTGAGATCTGCCAGCCAGGAGGAAGGAGGAAGAAGGGCAAGTGGGCGGGTTAGCAGGCAGGCGAAGGTGGACTCTGATCCCCGGCTCAAGGAGGACCAAGCACCCTCAGGCTGTGAGAACCTCGAGGTGAGGGTCGGAGGTGGGCAGGGGTCCTGGATCCAGGGGGAGGAATGAGCATCAGGGGCCAGCAGCGGCCGTGAACTCCCAGCCCTGTGGCCCGGAGTCACCAGCCTGTGCTTGCCGGCAGCCTTGCCCCTCTCCAGGGTTTCAGAACCAGCCGGGCCAGTCTGCAGTGGCCAGTATTTCCACCCAGGCTGGGGCCACAGCACAGCGGCAAACCAGCTGTGCCCCTAGCCCTGTGGCTGGAGCTGGAGCCGGCCTTGCCCGGGCAGGAAAAGGAGGGTGGGCCGGGCAGGGCCGGGGCTGGTCTCCGCTTGGAGCCAGGGCGCAGGCCCCGTTTGCTGTCTCTGCAGCTTTTATGTTGGCCCAGAACAACAGCCCCTCTGTCCAGGGCCCGCTGGTGATGAGCTTTTTCCAAGAGTGACCTCACTGAATGAAGCCCAGCAACCCTGGTGGAGGGAGATTCGAGCTGTTTCCCCGGGGACACCCTGGGGAGCAGGGAGTGACTTGCCCAGGGCCTCAGAACTGGCCGGGAGAGAGGCTGCATTCAGAAGCTCTGTCTTACTCATATTTGCTCATCTGCAATGGAAAAGAAATGACAATTCAGGATGCAAGGAAATCCCTGGACTTGTTTTGTTTTGTTTTGTTGGAGACAAGGTCTCACTAGCTAGTCCAGGCTGGGCTTGAACTCACAGTGATTCTCCTGCCTCAGCCTCCAGAGTTTTGGGATCACAGGCGTGTGCCACCAGGCCTGGCTTGCTGGGCTTTATGTCAAATCCAAATGTCATTTTTTCAACTTGGCTGCGCACCCTCTCCTAGAAGCAGCCACAAGCAACACAGTATCAGCCTTAGACTTCAGACTTAATCTGCCTGGGCAGGTGCCAAACCGCTCCTCAGCGCTGGCTCCGGTGTGACCCAGGGCAAGTCACTGCACCCCTCTGGCACTGCAGCCCGAACACATCCCTAGATCAGACAGCAGAGCTGTAGTTTCCCCCTCTCTGGGTCGCCCGGGGGTTAAGTGTGTTCGTCTGCATGTGCTGAAGATTCTCTGTTATGCCTCCTTCCCCTTCCGAGCAGGAGTTCTGACTCTTGGTTCACAGAGGTAAACGAGGGATCAGGTGAGGAAGCTGGTTCAGGGCCCCACAGGGAGGAAGGGACAGAATTTGACCCCAGGGACATGATGTCAGAACCAGCAGTGACAGGGGCCTGTCTGCAACGCCAGGACAGAAGTAGTGAGCCCAGGTAGGGCAGGGCCCAGGAGAGGTGACAGCCCCATGTCAGAGAAGGAACATCCAGAGGGAGCCTCTGCTTATTAAATACTGTGTTTGCTGGGCACAGCGCTACAGTGCCCCAATTCTTACCACAAAGACTCAGAAATGTATTAGTGTTGCTGTTTTCCAGATGCAGTCAGAAATGAGGCCAGAAAGGTTGAGGAGACTGCTTAAATCTATGCAGCACGGGCAGAGCCAGACCCACACCTGGCTTTCCACGTGCTGCCCTTTTCCTGTGGTCTACTTCGGGTCAAGCGCTGAGGGTAGGGCCCCGCTGGCATCTGGTGGGGCTTCTGATCTTAACCTGAATCAAGATTCATGAATGAATCCAGTTCAGCATTTAAAAATAGAGTAGAACAGAAAATATCAGACAGCCTACCACCTGGGGAGCAGGACACAAAGCAAGACTTGGAAGGGTCTTGTTTCATAAAATGCTTGTTTCTGTTATGGAGAAGGTGGAAGTGATGGTTGTGTTAGGGTACAATAAGCTATGTTTACTTGTCCAAGTTAAGGTTAGAGAAGTCTCCAAAAAAAATGCATTAGTGGCAAATTAAGACTGGTTTTCCCAGGGTTCGGGGGAGAGGTGCTTGTGGGGCAGTCCTCAGAACACACCCACCTAAACTACTGCTAACCATTTGGCTTTCTGTCCACATCACCTCCTACACCTCCCAGGGAGCTTCAGTGGAACTCTTCTGTGCGTTCTGTAAGGGAGGTGGTGTTATTTTATCCACTTTACAGAGGAAAACAAATGGGCTGACCCCAACTCATCTAGCTGGCAAAGGGCCAGCTATTCTATTGGCATAGAATGTTCTCATCATAACAGTGGTGGGCCGGGGATTTACCTCAGTGGTTCTGCTGCCTGCCTCGAAAATGCAAGATCCCGAGTTTGATCCCCGGTACCAAAATAAATAAATAACCAAGTGAAAATAATGAAAAAAAAAAAAAAAGTTGTTCCACAGAAACCGCGGGGTCCCAGGACATGGGCAGATGCGTTTCTATTTACCATCCAACCCAGGGCAGCTGCGTGGCACTAGCCACTTAGTTTACAATTCACAACTTCCAGCTTCGCCTGGATACCATTCTTGCCCTTTTTTTATTGTAGGGGAATTGGTATTAATGTTTTCACAAAATATGAGAAGTTGTACTGTTAGGTCATGGTCTCTCAAAACCGGGTAACTAGATGTGGAAACATACGGATCCCTGGGGCCACCCCAGACGCCCACACTGGGCTCTCCAGGCTGGCCCGGATTAGGACCTGTGGACACTGAGGAGCTGTCCCTGCACTGCCGTCTTCATTGTGGTTCCTGGAAGTCGCCGGCTGGAGTCTTCTCAGACAGGTGGGGAAGCGCCCTGCGGTTTGTGGAGGGTGTTTCCTGCTGCCACGCCTGCAGGCTCAGGGTGCTCAGGATGGCGCCGAGGGCATGCGGGAGCCAGGCAGGCCTGGGTCGACATCTGATATTTGAGCCCAGCAGCCGTGACCCCGTCACCTCACAAAGCCTCAGTTTCCCACCTGCAAAGTGGAAATGATCCGCCCAGCTCCGCAGCTTGCACTGACCCCCCTCCCCCCGCAGATGCCGGTGCTGAAGCAGCCGGGCCCAGCGCAGCCCAAGAAGCGCAGCCCAAGAGGCGGTGCGCTGTCCATCTCGGCGCCGCTCGGTGACTTCCGGCACACGCTGCACGTGGGGCGCGGCGGCGACACCTTCGGGGACACCTCCTTCCTGAGCCGCCACGGGGCCGCGCCGCCCGCCGCCGAGCCCCACTCGAAGCCCGCGGGGACCCCGCCGCCCCCGCCCGCGGCGCCCCCAGACCCGCTGCTGTCCTTCCACCTGGACCTGGGCCCCTCCATGCTGGACGCCGTGCTGGGCGTCATGGATGCGGGGCGCGCGGGAGCGGCTGCCCAGCCGGAAGCAGACGCACGCCCTGGGACGCAGCCCCGCCGGGGCCCCCGCAGCCGCCCCGACGCCCGCCTGGAGCTGGACCGCGGGCTCGGCCTGTAGCGCCCGCCCCGCCTGGGTGACATAAACGGCCGAGGTCTGCGCCAGGCTCCGTCTGCTCACTGGATGCGAGGGGCGGGCGGGAGACCAGGGAGGTGCGGCTGAGTCCCGCTCAGCCTTGCGAGGACAGAGCGGGGAGCCACGAGGCCCTCCACAGCGTGGTGCCGCCCTTCAGCCCCGGCGGGGGGAGCCCCTTGACCCTACCGTGGGTCGGCGGCGCCGGCAGCGTCCCTACTCGGGGCTGAAAGTTCCCCCTGACCCACGGGCGTCCAAGCTCTTTAGGGCCCGAAGAGGCAGCGGCGCACCGGAAAATACCGCGGGCTGGGGAGGGCCCGATCCGCTTCCCACGGCGGCCCGGATCGGGCGCCTGTAGATCAGCCGGGGTGGGTGTGGCCGCAGGCTCGAGGGCCGGCGAATTCAAATCAGCAGCCGGGGCGGGGCCGGCGCGGAGTCTGGGAAGGCCGTGTAAGCAAATCAATGTGCAGGGTGGGGCCAGAGCACGGCCGTGATGCCACCCGAGGTCCCGGCCAGTGTGGGTGCTGCCGCCTCCATGGCCGAGGTGTCCCCAGGCCCCAGCGCCGTCCCGGCAGGACTGCCCTCGACACCCACAGCGACGGAAGGGGAGCCAGTGCTGCGGCCCGAGGCACCCCCGGCCTGCCTCTTCCGGGAGGGCCGCTGCCGCCAGCCCCACTCCGGAGCTCCCGTGCCGCCCGTCCGCCCGGCGCAGCCAGAGGTGGGGGCCAAAAAGCCGCCCCTGCGCACGGCCGCAGCCGTCATCCAGCGCATCCTCTGGGACCCGCGCCTGGACCCCGCCGACTTCTCGGTGGGCTACGCCGACCGCTTCCTGGGCGTGCGCAAGGAGCCGTTCAGCGCCTTCTGCTGGGACCAGCCGCTGGCGGCGCTGGGCCCGGGCGTGCTGGCCGTGCCGCAGCACCGCGTGCGCTACTTCCGCTGCCGCGGCCGCCTAGTGTGGGACCGCGCCTCGCGAACAGACCTGGTCTTCGGCTCTGGCTCGGCGGCCGGCCGCGGACCCACCATCCTGGACTTGCTAGACAGCGAGGACGCCGCGGGGAGCTCGGAGCCGGCCGACCCCGAGGACCCCGAGCCTGGAGTAGAGAAGCAGGACGACGACCCCGGAACGCAGCTGCGGGACGAGGGAGCCGACCCCGCGGACTGATGCTGGGACGAAGCCCCCAAGGGGAGTCTCGAACGAGTGCGGCGGCGCGGAGGCCCGCGGGGAGGTGGAAGCCTAGTGGGGTCCGGGAGCCTAGGCCCAGGCCAGAAGGACCCCACGCACTTAGTGGCCCTCATGGTGACTGAGCCCAGCCTACAGGCGGAAGTGCCGCCGGCCTGCTCAGAGTTCCTGGCGCTGCTGCGGCTGGCCGGCCTGGGGAGGTGGCAGCGGCTGCAGCACTGAGACACGCCCTCCAGGACCTTGTACCCTTGAGTCCCCATGTGCTCTGCGCCCCACCGACCCCCACACTGCAAGGCGTGGCTCTAGAGCTGAGCAGGAGGCCGACCGCGGAGCAGCACCCCCATCCACCCTGGCCAGGTGCCCTGCGGTTCCCCAGTCTGCCTCCCCAAGCCTGGGTCCTGCCAGTGAGGAGCCGGGGGACCCAGCCGAAGGGAAGGGCCCCTGGGGCGACAGGCCAGATGCACCAGGCACCGCAGACCGGCGGGGCAGAAAGGACGAGGCGAGCGCGCTCTCTCTCTCTTTAATTTTGGCTTCTCGCAAGCTTCCAAATGGTGTCAGAGCTCCAAGGAAAGAATGAAGGAAGGCGGGAGGGGAGGGAGGGAGGCAGAGGAGGGACGCCTGGAAAGGAAGCCTGACAGTCCAGCGGTTGGCGAACTCAGCACATCCTCCAGTTACATGGCAGAAGAGGGAGGAAGGACCGAAAAGAAAGGGGGAGGAAGGAGAAATAACTTAAATAAACACACACACAAAGAAAAGAGAAGGAAACATGACGTGAGCTGGTGATCCATGAGGCGGGGAGGGAGGAAAGGTGACCGTTTTACCTGTGCTGAACCAGGGAGGGCTGGGGAGCGGAGGCGGGAGGGAAGGGGAAACCGGAAGAAACATTGGGGCGGGGAGGAGGGGACACGGAGACAACTTAGTACAACTTGAGCGGCGTGGCCCGGCTGCGTCCCGCGCTGGCCTCCGGCATCCTCAGGGTGGCATGGCAGCGCTCGTCTGGCGGCGGCGGCATTAGCGCTTCCGGGGTGGGGGGCCGAGGGCGCGGCACAGTCTCTACGCAGCTCCCCTCACCCCAAACTGAGGCCCCGGAGGGCTGCGCAACAAGAGTCTGTGAAGAGGCCGGGCGACGGGCGCGGGCTGGACGGCGGGCGGGCACCCGGGGCGGCGGGCGTGGGCTGCACGCCCCTCTTCTGTCCGCCGGCCCCGCAGCGGACGGGCCAGCGCGCCGGGTCGGTGCCGCAGTACAAGCTCGAGAGAGAGAGAGAGAAAACACTGAGACAGCATTAGTGGAGGTACCGGTGGACACGGCCTGCAGACCCCACCCTCTGCCGCCCGCCTCCACCCACGCACCCCTCTGAGGCAAAAAATAAAAATGTAGAAAAATCTCTGTACAGACTCCCCGGTGGGAAACGGGGCAGGGACTGGCTCTTCCTGGAGCCCACTCCCCCAAATTTAATTTACAACCCAAGTCCATGGCTCAAAAAATCTGCAAGGCGGCGCTGGGGACTGCAGTCCCCGGCCCCCCGGGCTCGCTGGGTGCTCAGAAGGCTGGCAGCTGCGCCAGGCTGAGGCGGCAGTCGATGCTGGAGCTGTCGGGGCCCGTGTAGGCCAGGCCCAGGGGCTCTAGGAAGGCCCGGCAGGCAGCCTCGCCCTCGAAGGCCAGCTCGGCCTGCAGGTAGGAGACGGGCAGCGCTGGGCGGAAGCTACGGAGACAAGAGGAGAGAGCGATGAGGCGGGCGTGTGGGCAGGGCCCCGAGCAGGAGCAGGGAGAGGCGCCCCCGCGGGCAGCCACAGCGCTTCCTCAGCATGGGCCCTGCGGGCCGCCCCGCCTCCCGGCCACACCCCTCAGGGCTTGGGGGGCCCGGGGTAGGGCTGGTGGCCCCAGTCCCCAGCTGTACCGCCCCTCACCCACACTTACCTGTCCAGAAAGGAGAGGGAACAGGAGTGGAGGGGCTGGAGCCAGACCACCCCGAGGGAGCAGCGTGGGCAGAGAAGGCCAGGGCCAGCGGCCTGCCTGGGGTCAAAGTGCCCCAGGGCACAGGTGTGAGCAGCGCCGTTAGGGAGTGCGCAGCCAACAGCTGTCTGAACAGCGTCCTGCTGACCGGGGACCCTCGCTACAGGCTGTGAAGGGGCACCTCTCCTTGGAACAGCACTGAGTGGCCACATGTCGCAGGACCCTGGTGCCTCTTTTCTGCTACCGGGGCAGCTTCCCACGCCTGCACCCACAGGGCTCTGGGATCTAAGGGGGTCTTGTCTGTCACAGGCCATGCCAACCTCACAGGGAGGAGAGCTGAGGAAGTGAGGTCAGCGATGGCCATTCACAGCTGTGCCACGGCCCACGGCCAGGCATACATAAAGGGGCGGAGAAATGACTGCTGCCCAGCCAGGTGCCTGAGGGCTGCACGTCACAGGCAGCAGCTGTGAGGCCTGTCTCCTCCCTCCCCAGCCAGGGGTCACTGTGTCCCCGTGCTCTTCTGCCCCTGCCCCTGCCCCGGCCCCAGCCCGGCCCAGCCCGGCCCGGCCTCTCCCTGTCTGACAGGAACTACAGCCCAGCTCCTTAACCTTCGGGCGCGTGGCCCCTCCTTAGCCACCAACCACCCCAGGGCTCCCTAACCCCCTTTGACAGAGGTTCCTGGGGCCCAGGGAACCCCCTGCGCCAGGACTTCTCAGCCTGACCAACACCACAATAACTAAGGCTTGGGGCCAGAAGGCTGCTGCGGGCTGCCCCGGGGGCTGGGTTCCTGCAGCATCCCTCAGCCCAAAAGGCAAACCCTTCTCCTGACGCTGTGGTCCCCCGCAGGCATTTCCACCCCACAAATGATGAGGGGCCACCACAGCCAGGGGGCGTGGGTAAAGGATGCACTCAGTCATTGAGGGCCTGGCTGGTCCCTGTCACACAGTCCCTCGGCATTTCTGCCACTCCCAACGGAGCTGAATGGGAACTGGGCCTGGTCTTGGGACCAGAGCCACAAGGGCAGGGCCCCTCCTTCCTAGTTTGTCTCTAGTATGGGAGCACTGAGGAGCTGCACCAGGCAGGCAGAGGCCTGCAGGGTGCCCCAAGCCCTGCTCCGCCAGATCCAGGCTGACATGAACAGGAGGAAGAGAGGCAGAGGGGAAGGGACAGGAGCAATGAGTAAGGGGGGAGAGATCAGAGCAGGGGAGGAGGAACTGAGGAGAGTGAGGGAGTATGGAGGGTGGAAGGAGACTCCAGCACGGGCAGAAGGCCCAAGACCTCCAGGAGCACAGAGAGGGTGAGAAGCGTGGCAGGGCCACAGCAAAGTGCCACATACGTTTTGATCATTGCCTTGAGGGCAGCCTTGCGCTCCCGGTCTGCAAACTTGTCCACGAGGTAGCCAGACATGCAGGGCGCGTGGCAGTAGAGGCGGAAGAAGCGGTGGTAGTTGCCCAGGGCCCAGGCTGCCCGCAGTGCCAGTGCATGGGCCACACAAGGGTCTGCCTTCAGCTCCCGTGTGAGGTACGCCAGCTCCGTGGTGATGTCTGCGCCCAAAACACACAGGCCAGTAGGCAGGGTGCCACCCTAGGCACCCTGGGGCGGTGCCAGGGCCCAGGCCTCGCACCTCCTGAGTTCTTGGTGAACATGTAGTAGAGGATCCGGTAGGCAGTAAACTCGCCCACATTGCCTGGCAAGTTCTCTGCGTACAGAGACTTGAGCTGTGTCTGGCACTGGTTGAACTCTTCGTGGTCACCCTGAGGGCAGGAAGGTGGGGAGGGGAGGAAAAGCAGGTGAGGCCCAGGCAGGTGCACAGGTGCGGAGGCCACAGGAGGCGGGGAGGCCTGCACGGGCGCGCTCACCTTCTCCAAGGCGATGCGGGCGTGGGTCTCATACACCTCCACGGTGAACTCCGTGCGGACACCTTGCACCTGGGCGGCAGGGACACAGAAGTCACAGGGGTAGGGAGCCAGGACGCCACCCCAGGGCCCTTCCCGGGGTCCTCCTCACCGTCAGGTCCTGCCGGATGGACTTCATCTGCTCGCAGGCGAAGGCATAGTCCTGCTTCTCCTTCCAGTGGGATTTGACCATGCACAGAGACTTCTTCAGAACCTGGCAGGAATTGGAACAAGACTCATGGGAAAACAGGCAAGGGCAGCTCCTCGAGCGGAAGCATTCTCTTTCCCAGCACTCAGCGTCCTTGAAAAGGGAGGTAACGCAGAAGGCAGGTGTTATGGCTGTGTCTGATGTCACCCTAAAGCCTTGGGCGGTCACAGGGGGGGCTTTTTCGGAGGTGGCTGAATCTAGAGTGCGATGCTGGGATTAAGTGTGAGGGATTACTAAATCAGGCCACTGACTGGTTTGGCACAGCCCTAATCCTGGCAGCCTAGACAGAGTAACAAAGGAACAGAAAGAAGGCGCTAAGTTCCTTGCTTGCTTTGCTTCCTTCCGTCTGCCATGAGCTGTTGCCTCTCTGGGGCACTCCTCTGCCGCGCCACCCTGCCTTGGAGCCAGCTGACTATGGACTGAAACCTCTACAAAGTGCAAGCCAAATAAACCTTTCTTCTCTTAATTTTGGGCGTCAGGTATTTTGTCTCAGTAACAACTAAAGCAACTAAGACAGCAGCTTAGTGACTCACTGCTGCCATAAAAATCAAAGGCACCAGGGCGCATGCGTCCCCTACACCATTTCCTGCCACACGCAGGCTGCACCTTTGCCCTGGCGTGGAGCAGTGATCACCCCACTATGGCCCCGGCCCAGGAGCCCGTGCCTGGGAAGGCTTTAATGTCCCTTGGCAAGGCTAAGGCTGCACGCCCTCTGCACAGGGCTCCAGGAACTGGGGTGCTGGGGCCCTGCTGCTCCTCCCCAGCGACCCCCCAGGCCTTAGTCCAGCAGCTCTCGGGGCGGACCTGCCTTGCTTGGGACTTACTGCCACGGGGCGCACAGTGGAAGGGTCAGGGGCACAGGTGAGACGCAGGTAATGCTTGGTGATGTCTGGACAGGTGCCCACGATCTGCAGCTCCTGCCAGTCAGGGTCAGCTCCACCACTGTCCAGATTGCTCATCTGCAGCACCAGGGGCTCAAGGCGCAGGCGGCGGGAATGCCCGTGCTGGAAGCGGGCCGCTCGCTTCTGCTTCTTCAGCTCACGCTCCGGGTCCTCACACTCCAGCGCTGCCATCTTCTTGCGGCTGCGCTTGGTAGGAGCCAGATCGTGCCTGTGAGGACGGAGGGCATGAGGACCGAGGTGTCTCCAGCCACACTCTGGCCTCGGCCAGCTGCCCAGCTGCCCAGCTGCCCACCTGCCCAGGCCTCCACCCCGCCCGCCCAAGCCCGTGATGCAGCCCCAGCCAGTCTCACCTCTTCCCTCGCTGTGCCCTGCCTCGGCCCCGGTCCATGTGGGCCCCTCGACCACCCCGGCCCTTGGGGGGCGGGTTCCTGCGGGCCACAGGGTGACACTCGTTCCCCGAGTAGGAGCTATCGGAGTCCGAGTGGGAGTCACTGCACAAGGAAGCGGGAGCGTCAGGTCTCAGGCAGCCCATCCTGCCCGCCCTCCAGTCCTTCCAAGTTGGCACACCTTCTCCGGAAGTGGCGTGTGGGGGATCTGGAGGAGGAGCGGGAGCGGGAGTCCGTGCTGGAGGAAGAGCTGTTGTCCTTCATGAAGACATTTCGGTTGCCGAACTTGGCGAAGCTGCTGCCCCGGGCTCGGCCAGCACCCCCAGCCCCTGGTGTCCCTCGCTGGGACTGGGCACCCCCGCCCCTGGTCACTGAGCCTGCCCCCCTGGGAGGGTGAAGGCTGCTAGGGGCCTCCCACCGCTTCTTCTTGGGGCTCTCAGCCACAGGCTCCCTGGTCAGCCTGGGGATACAGGAGGGCAGGGCATCACCAATCCAGCCACTGAACCACGGGACTGCAGGCCCCGCCACCCCAGGACACGCCACCTGGGAAAGGAAAGGCACTTACCCCAGCGGTTCGGCTGCTGCAGTGCAGGAGAGGGAGCAACCCCAAGGTTCTCTGTGGCCGGGGATGCTCTTAACCACCGTGCAACCCGTGCCCACCCAGCCCGCACGCAGCCCCACTGCACCCCAGCAAGCGTCCCGGCCAGGACCCCACACCCGAGGCCCCAGCACTCTGGCTCCTGCTCTCTGGAGCCCTACACCCCACAGCCTGGCCTGCACAGCACCACCCGCCTGCTGCTTCCCCAACTGACCCTGGCAGAGGCTCGCGGCTCCAGTCGATGGTGTAGGCCGAGCCATCCTGCAGCCGAGCCTGCAGCACCTCCTTGAGCAGCTTCTCCGTCCGGTCCTTATCTTCCTCTGACTCACAGGCTGTGAAGCAGCGCTCCACGTACTCCTTCATGTCCTGTGGCCAATCGTCAGGCTTCCCAGACAGGTTCCCCCGGGGGGAAGGCCCACTATGGGGGCAGAGAAGGGCCTGAGCCTGGAGGATCCCAAAGCCAGCACAGACTGCCCAGGACCACTGTTCAGGGCCAGGGCAGGGACAGCAGATGACCCTCACCTGTGGTTCTGGGCTTTCTCCAGGCTGGGCTGGGGGCCAAAGCTGCTGTGCTGGCCCTCTGCGCTGGAGCCAAAGCTCTGGTTGGTGACAGCAAAGGGCCGCTTCTGAATGTTGAACTTGAGACCCCCGGTCCCAGGGGCTGCTGTGGGGACAGCAAAGACCGAGGTCAGGCCCTTCCCAGACTCATCTCGGGCACCATGGTGATAACAAGCAGGATGACAGCACCAAGGGCAGAGGGGTGAGGGACTTGGGCCCTGGGGAGAGCAGCCCCCAGCAGCCTACCCCATGTGTCAGGACCGAAACACCTAGGCCCCACACACCCTGTGCATCCCCACCCAGAAGCTCTGAGGGTCCTGCCCCAGCCCCTGGGCCTCAGGAGGCCTTGCCTACTCACGCTTCATGCGGTTCCACAGCTGCTGGCCCTTCTTGGGCTTGGCAGGCTCGGGGTAGGCATGTGGGCCATAAGCCTGGCCTGCAGGGGGGCCCGCCTGGCTGTGCTGCGTGGTGGGCGCTGTCCCAGGCTGGGGGCCACTGCTCAGAGCATGGGCCCCATGGGGGGGGTTTGACGGCTGTGGGGGCTGGGCCGCGGGCAGCTGCTGTGGAGAGGCCTGGTAGGCCATGCTGTCATCCATGCCGGGGACCGGGGGCTGCAGGGGAAGCGGGTCTGAGCGAGGAAATGGTTCCAGTCCTGGCCTCGCCACTATGTTACTCAGCACTCAGCTCTGCAAACCTTCCAGTCTACCACTCACATCCTCCCACACTTCACAACCCTTTCCACAGCTGAGAGGACTAAGGTTCAGCAAGAGCGGCAACTTTCCACGCCTCAGCTTGGACATGGCATGGCCAGCATCTGACACTGCAGTCTGACTCCACTCCAGTGACAGTGCTGACAGCACACCCCTCCAGTGGTGCCCTGAGCACAGACACATGACCAGGAGCACCCAGAAACCCCACTTGGGTCACTGCCTCCCACGGAGAGTTGCCTGAAATGCAGAGGTCACAAGGCTTGTAGGATAGTACTCGGGAATGAAAGAGCTGGAATTGAGCCCCAGGTCTATCTGTCTCTGAGCCCCGTGCTCCACATCCCTCCAAGTGCACTTAAATGCAAAGCCAGACTGCTTGTGTGCATGCGTGCGTGCATGTATGTGCACGTGCTGGAGGAAAACAAGACAGACTGCCATGTTACAAAATGCTGCAGCCCCTGACCTTGCCCAAGCCCACCACCCTGCTTTCAAAAACTATGCTTTAGTTCAATCCCCGGTACCAAAAAAACCACAAAACTATGCTTTGTCCTCCTCACTGTCAGATCAGAAGCTGCTTGTGAGGAAGAAAAAAAGGGGGGGTTGGTGAAGTAGCTTAAATAATGCAGGCAACTCCCCACTGCTAGCCTCCCAAAACCTATGTCCCCTGCTCAAGCTTGACTGGGAGCTAGCCGGGCACAGCATTACCTGGTTCAGAGTCCCTTGGTGCTGGGGTGCTGAAGGCTGCTGGGCGGTGGCTGAGCCATAGGAGCCAGCCATCCCATACTGGGAGGGGGAGCCATAGCTCTGGTACATGCTCTGCCAAAGTCACAGGGAGGGGTTAGTGGCAGGCCATCCTTGCCCTCTTCTGCCTGCTCAGACCTGTATACAACCCGAGGCTACAGATCCCTGGCTCTTTGCTCTCCAGTATCCAGAGACAGCAAATCCTCGTGTTGATGAAAAGGAAGCACCTATGTCCACCCTCATCCACTAAGATAGCTATCAGAGAGTTCTATTCAGTAAACACTCATCAAGTGCTAATTCTAAGCCCCACAGTAATGAAATAAAAGGCAAAACTAAGTTTCAACGAAGCTTGCACTGAAGATACACACACAGCTGTAGCCACAAACACACATGCCCTGCAATAAGTAACATGAGAGGAAGAAGGCAAAGGAAAGGAACAGAGCTGGGGACACTGCTCTCAGGGAGGCTTCTGTCTGGAGAGAGCCCCTGAAGGCGCGCTATCTGAACAGAGACCCCATGGTGGGCACAACAGGAAGGAGACGGCTGCAGCAGAGCCAAGCACGAGTGGACGTGGCGTATGCTGATGTCACAGTCTCATAGCGATGACGAACGGGCATGAAGAGGGGAGGGGCCGGAACCAGACTTGGAGGCTCTCAGGGCCCTGCTGGAACCTGGGATTGACTTCAAGGGCTACGAGCTACTTAAGGGTTTCTGAACAGCCTGGCCACTATGTGCATCCCATCGACTCCCCCAGCCCACCCTGACTGCAGAGGTCCCCTGCCCTCCAGCCAGACACTCACCATGGGATAGTAGTAGCTATAGGGATAGGCATAGTTGTACTGCTGGTACCACTGGTAGTACTGCTGCTGCTGCAGAGCTGAGGCTTCTGCCTGAGACACATACTGTGGAAACAGAGGCCCCCAGCTGTTGGCACCACGTTCCCCAGAAGGCAGGTTGCTTCACTAGGGATAACTGCTGAGGGAGGGAACTGCCCTGACCACCAGACTCAGGCACCCAAGGGACAAGGGACCCAGCCTCCCTCTTCAGGACCACACCACCCCCTTGGTGTCTCAAGGAACAAGACCCCACCCTACATCCAACTTACAGATCAGAAAAGCATCTTTTTAACACTATCCCTCAGAGCAACCCATCCCAGTGAGAAGAACCAAGCCGAGTCCTTCCCCATTCAGGGTTCCCAGGCCTTGTGGCCTCCTCACTTGTGCACTGGCCACAGGCCCATTGCTGCTGGCCTTTGAGCTGCCAGCAGCTCCTGCTTTGCTGATGCTGGCCAGGGCCTGGCGGGCTTTCTCCCACTCAGGGTTTTCATGCATGGGGGTCTCCATGCCATTCTCTCTGCCAGCCCCAGCCACCATGCTGTACTGCGAAGACCTGCAGAGAGGACATCAAGTCAGTCTGTGGAAATGTGGCAGGAAACAGACACCAGGCCTCGAACCTCAGATTTAAGCTCCTGACCTATCTGAACCTAAGTTTTCTAATTACACTGTGCTTAGAAAAGCCCAGAGCTCTCCATGAGAGATAAGGAGACTGCCTACTTACAGGACCTATCCTGGAGCCTGGCCTACAGCAGGCAGTAAACAAACCGAAGGGTGGCTCATGTAATTTAACATGGGATCTAGCATCTAGCAGACCTCAGTAGTTTAAGAATGAGTGAACTGGCTGCCACCACCTATAGTCATCACACTGTATGAAAATAAAGAATTAGTAGAAAGGCAAATGACTGGGTACTAAGTGCTGGAAGCTGCTTACTAGTTATAGTTGCTTGAAAGAATCACCATAGTTCTGAGGTGAACCCTATACAGGAACCCTAAACAGGTGAACCCTAAAACAGGAAAGCTCACAGATGAAGACCTGCCCCTCTCTACACCTCAAATATGTCCCTCCCTTTGCGCCTCACCCCGGGAAGGACTGCTGCACCTCTTTCTCCAGTCTGTATGAGGCCCTCCTCAAAGGACAGCACTGAGTCATTGGATTTTGCTCTTTTTCCCGCCCCACCAGCCTCTGTCCCTCGAGCCCCACTAACCAATCTGTGTTACGCTGGTCACCCACATTGGCAGCCATCTGGACCTTGGGGTGGATCTGGGGAGCCAGACTGCTTTTTCACTGTCTGTGAGAAAGAGAATGAGTTAGGGAAACCCTGGAAGGAGCATGGAACATGGAGAGGGGAACATGTGGTGGACTCATGAGAAGCCAGACGAAAAGTGGTATTTGAGGTATTGGGACTTTTGAGATCAGAGCCAATGGGGTAAAGACCTGAAGAGAATTCTGGGTGTGGAATGAAGGGGCTAGAGTATGAATATGTAGCACTGGCCTTCCTGCAATGCTACAGGGGGAAAATCAAGGGTTTGAAAACCAGGAGGCTTAAAGGGGCTTTCCAAAGGAAAGAAAAGTCTGAGATCCACAAGGGGAAAGGGAGGGTGAAAGGCAAGGGGAAGGGGCCTCTAGGACACGGGGTCTAAAAATAACTCCAGACAACAGGGATTTGAGAGGAAGCAGGAGGAGGCTGCTCCAGTGAGCAAGGTCTCCAAGAACCCTTAAGGCTGAGAGCCTGGGAAGATGGAAGCCACTTCTGGGGCACTGTGAGGGAGGAACTGGGAGAACACTGGTGAATGCAGGAAAATTTGATAGGGGGATTTCTGGAAGTTCCTCTGAGAAGAGGGGTAAGTTCAGGTGCTTAAGAGAGAGTCTCCATTTGAAGAAATAAGTTCTCAGAAAGCAGAGATTCATTTTAAAACACTAATCTAAAGGCAGAGAACAGACTTGTTCCGGAATTATTAAGGATAGGATAGAGAGTATTGAAAGAAAAAGACCGTTTAGAAGGTTAGGGCTGAGGGGCCTCTACTCCTGGAAGGGCTGAGAAGCAGGAATGAATACTGCTGGAGAACCCGGAAATGCACAGGTGGCCAAAGACGGGACAGAACAGGAACCTTAACTGGGGAGACCTCTAGAAAAACAAAGACCTTAAAGAGGGCGCAGAATTTGAGTGGAGGAAAGGACCTTGGAGTGGGGGAACCCGAGAGGGAGCCCCAAAGCAGGAAAATAGGAATAAGATTGGGGGTGAACGGGGACAGGAACCAGACAAGAGGGCAACGATCGGGTAAGCACCTAATGACCCGCAGGCCCGAGGAAGGGGAAGGAGGACGCTCTGCCTGGCCGCCGTCGCCGGGGCAACACGGCCGCCCGCCGAACCGGAAGTCAATGGGGCTTGGGGGAGGCAAGCGCTACGCGCCACCGAGTTCTGAGAGGCAGGATGGAAACGACAGCGCACGCGCGCGCTGGAGTCGGGCGCGAGCCCACATAAGCGCGCAGGCGCAGAGGCCGCCCGGCCGCCACACCCTGCCGACAGCCGCGCGAAGTCTGTTGGAACGACGGCCGAGCAGGCCTCTGCCTCTTGGGCGCGGGACCGAATGGAGAGGCCGTCCCCGCCCGCCAATCCCCACACAAACCAGGTCTGTCCGTTTCCAGGACTCCTCAGCAGCGACCCAAGGTGGTAGCGTTACGGCCGCGAAAACGCTCAGCTACCCGGCAGGCTCTTGTCTTCTTTGGCTTCTACGTCCTGACCGCGGCGTCATGACGTCATGAGAGGCTTCTCCCCGCCTCCTCCCTGGACAGCCAATGGGAACTGCCCGTTTGTTTTGAGCCCGCCCTTCCGCACGCAATCACGCGGGAGGCGTGGTAATACAAGCCAGAAGTCGGAGGCGGGGACGGTGGCCCCGAAGGGTCAAACGCACTCAAATCATCCGGCTTTCCGCCCTTTCAAAAACGCTTATCTTTGGGCCAGGGATTTAGCTCAGTGGTTCCGTCGCCTGCCTCGCTAAGCGCAAGGACTTGAGTTCGATCCCTGGTACCAAAAAAAAAAAAAAGCAAAAACTCTTGTCCTGATCCAGTGTTTGGCAGCCATTATTATTCCTAAAATGTGAACTGGAGTGGTGAGAACTGTGGGACTACCCACAGCATCGTGACATGTAAGGCCAGGGAAGAGAATAACGAGCGCAAAGGGTGAAGACTCCTCACCCGGAAGGGGAGCTTTCCTAGTAAAGAAGCCTAGGACGGCGCACCTGGCTTGGGGAAGGGCGAGTTCAAACCCGGGGAGGCTGGAAATAGGCGTAGCCTGTGGGCAGGGCGCCGCGGTGTGCGAGACGGGGGATAGTATGTGGGGTCCTGGCGTGGAGCGAGGCTGAGGGCCTGGACCACGTTGCATATGGGCCTTTAAGACTCTACGTAGCTAGTGTTTCCGAGTGTGCCCGTGTGTCTTCATCCAAGACCCACAAATGGCCCAGGTCAGGGACTGGTCACTGTAGTCATAGTAGGTGTAAGAACAGTATTCAAGAGGCAGTTTTCCTTCCCACTGTCTACTACTAAGAACTTCTCTGTGGATAACTAATAGCATTGTAATAACTGTTTTCATGTTGTTAGGGTAAGCAAAGTTTTGATTTTTGTTGTTTTTGAGACAGGATCTCACTGCAGTTCAGGCTGGGCTTGAACTCACAATGATCATCCTGCCTCACCCTCCTGAGTGCTGGGATTATAGGCATGCGCCACCACGCCCAGCTAATGTAAGTATTTTTAAACAAGTTTTGAAAATTGGACTATTTGTTGGAGATAATTTTAGACCTACCAAAAACGTTGCAAAGCAATAGGGAGTTAAGCATACTCCCTGCACCTGTTTCAGTGTCATCAACTCACATTACTATGGCTTGTCAAAACTGAGAATCTGTCACTGCATATTGCTCGCAACTGGGTCCTTTCGATACATTTTCCACTAATGTTCTTTGTGTGCCAGAGTTGAATTAAGAGTACCGAAACAGCATTTAGCTTCCTTTACATGTTACATCCGAGTAAGTTTCTTGAATGAATGATACTCATTTGCTTGATGAGGCAGCTGAGGCCAATAGGCCAGGTGACTCGCCTGGGTCCATAAGAGGGGTGAGCAGCAGGACCAGGGTGTAGGGGTGTCCCCTGCCAGCCAGGTGAGCCCGGCCTTTCACCTTGTAGCCCCTCTCCATTTGTCCTCTCCTCTGCAGCTCCCTCTAAAGTCTCAAACTCAGTCCAGAGCTGCTTTCTCAGAGAGCCCTGCTGTGTGTGCCGTGACTCCTTGAACTTCTCTTACTGAACTGTGATTGCATGGATTAGCAAACGCCCTTAGATGCCTCTGCTTCTCTTTCTGGAAATTGATTGCCAAGAGCAGTCAAGCTTTGATTTTTCTCAATACAGGTAGGTGGTTTCTTTCACAGGCTGTGGCAGTGCATTTGCATACCTGTTCCTGCACTCCTGGCCAGCACCGGATGGCCCTCTTTAAATTTAGCTCAGTAGTGGAAAATTTTAACTCAGTAGTGGAAAAATGCAGTTGGTGGTTGTTTCACATCATGTTTCCTAATCATTAGAGTTTGAATGTCCATTTATAGACCCTGGGATTTTCACTGCATTGAATGTTCATTGTAGTTGCTTATTTTTAGTTTTTGGACACATTTGTAGATTATGTATTAAGAATAATATATTTCTTTGCCATGTGTGTTAAAGACACACGTATTGTTCACCAGACTGTAAATTTGTCTTTCCTGGCTTTATGATACCTTGTTTAAAGTGCCCCCCACCCACCATCTGGATGTATAAAATACAAATCTCCTCCTAATTTCCTCAGAGTACTTGTGTTCTTTTGCTGGTACACATTTAGATCTCACCTCTCTCTACAGAAGTCTCTGGGAGATGGAGAGTGAGTTGATTCAGCAGCGCCGCCGTAAAGCAGCAGCGCTTACAGGAGCTCCTGCAGTTGGTCTTCCATCCCGTGTATCAACATGCACACTCAGCTGTTTCCAGCTTATCCCTCGCTCTGGTGTGGGCCGTGTGTCTGCCTTCTGGGATTGGAACTGCCGCTGAGCCTGAACAGGAGCAGCACTGCCACACAGGCCCCAGAGGGGAGGCCACCCCACCTCTCCTCAGGAGCAGAATCCAGGGAGGGGAAAAATAAGCACCCAGTCGCTCATAAAATAAAGACTTCCCTTTTATTTTACATCACCTCTTTTCCAAGTTTGTGCCGCAAGTTCAAATCTGGGGCTGGAACCCAATGGAATGCGGCAGGGGCGGAGAGAAACATGTCCCTGCCTCAGCTCAGTTCCACCGGGATGAGACTGGCAGTGAGGGGCTTGGGCTGGCTCTGTGCCCCTCCCCTGTCAGCCGTGGTCCCTGTTCTCCCCCTGCAGCAACCACCAGGGCTAAGGAGAGATGGAGGGCAATGGGGCCAGGGCACAAGGCAGTCCTGTGTGGGGTGTCCATGGCCAGGAGTGTTAGTGGTCAGAGCCCAGGCAGGCCAGGTTAGTGGGGTCTCCTCTGGCAGCCAGGAAAGGAACTGCAGAGAGAGGCAAAGAGAGTGTGCTGATGGCCTGGAGGGCCACCAGGTACACACCCACCCAAAGGCAGCCCCTTAGGGTGCAAGAGGGGAGGGCCGGGCCAGGAAAGGGCCAGGGTGTCACCTGGAGCTCACCGAGGAGGGGAGACAGGCTCCAGGCTGGCAGAGAGAAGGGGCTCAGATAGACGACTGCCACTGAACAAAGCGCTTGGATTCCTGCCAGAGAGACACAGGGGACAGGAGATAAAGTGAGACCTGCCTTGTACTCTGGACCTGTGACCATCTTCCCTCAGAGCCAGGGTCCAGGCCCAGCCTCCTCCCTCGGACCCAGGGGTCCAGGCCCAGCCTCCTCCCTCAGACCCGGGGTCCAGGCCCAGCCTCCTCCCTCAGACCCGGGGTTCACACCTGAGGGTTGAAAGGGTCATCATCCTCGGTGTCATCGTAGTCATCACTGGGGTGTGATGGGAGTGGCAGAGAAGCAGGATGGGGACCCATCAGGAGGCCACACCCTCCCCAGTAGTGCCCCGGGGGGTGCCTCCTGTCCCCTCCCCCAGGACCCTGCCCTCTCTCCCCTGCTGACCTGGGCGTGAAGAGGGCCCAGGCTCGGGGCAGGCTGCAGAGGGTGGTGACTAGAGCCCCGGCAGACAGGAGGGAGAAGAGCAGCAGGAAGAGCAGGCCCTCCAGAGCGTCTTCGCACAGGCCTCGCAGCGCAGCACTGTAGTCCTGGGGCGGAGGGAGTGTGTCAGTGCTTGCACACGGGCACACCTGATCTGCCTGGCTGTGTGGTGCTGCACAAGTCACCCCGCCTGTCTGCGCCTCAGTGTCCTCCCCAGCAAAGGGCTGTGTGAGAGTGGAGAGTCATCAGCATGAACAGGCCTGGGTCTCTGCTGGGCTGCAGCCCCTGCTCCCCACCCTGTTTCACAGCAGCCCCCTCAGACGCTGAACCAGCCGTGACTCCACCCAGTGCCCGAAGCCAAGTGTGCCTGGGTACTCCATCCTGTGCAGCATACGGTGTTGAGCAGTGTCCCCGGCCTCTACCAGCTAGATGCCAGCGACATCCTTCTTCCTACAGTTGTGCCAGCCATGTCTACACACGTCGCCAGGGCCCTGGGTCCCTGGGCTTGGACTCGCATGAGGGTGACAGCCAGGGACCTCTCACTTGGTACAGGCAGCCAGTGCTGGTTGCCGCACCCACCAGCCCAGACCCAGCAGGACAACCGTGACCCTGAGCCAGGAGCAAGGCCTGACCAGCACCTGCCCTGCATCGGGCATGCTCCCCAGACCGAGAAGGTCATTCTAGACGACAGCGAGCAGTGAGACCGGGAGATCAGTCCGCAGTGCTCTGCAGAGGCCACGAGAGATCAGGCACCAGGCTGGCAGAGATGGGGCCAACAAGGAACTAGGCGGATGGTCCACTGGTCAGGCAGGCCATTGGGCTGGTAGGGGTGGGGAGGTAGACAGTTTTGACGCCAGGGAGCTAGAGTTTAATCTGCGTGCAGGGGAAGCCACTGCAGGGTTTTAAGTGGAGCGAGACCTTGATCGGATCGTGGTCTGAAAGCATCACCAGCTGCTGGCTGTGGGTGGACAGATGGGGTAAGGGGGGACAGGAAAGAGGCTCCTGTGCCATGAGCCAGGGGTGAGGATGGCCAGGACCTGGCAGTCACAGGAGCCCTGCTCAGAGGGCAGCAGGCACACTTATGATGCCCTTCCATCCTCACAGGAGCCCTGCAGGGCAGAGACCAAGACCCTGGATGCTGCGGCTGTGAAGCACAGATAAGGCTACTTTTGCAGAGCCACACAGGCTGGGAAGGGAAAAGTTGGGGTTGGAGCCACATCTCTCAGGCTCCAGAGCCAACCTTTCTCCTTGTCCCTGATGTCCCTGCCCCCGACAGGGCCCTTCCCTGGCATCAGTAACAGCCTCCCCACCCCGAATCCCCTTTGTGCTCCCTCACCTCCCACCATACCCCACCAGCAAGTTCTGTCTGCTATTCTTCTGAAGCCCATCTGGACTCTGATCACTGCTCGTGCAGCCTCACTGCTGCCATATGTAGGAACCTGGGGTCCAGGTCACGTGGTCCAAGCCCAGTGTCACATGGTATATCAGGGAGGGGCAGAGACCCCTGCCCATCCTCTTCCCTCCCTTCACAAAGCAGTCTTGCGTTGGGTGTGGTGGCCCAGTTTTGCCTGGGCCGTAGAGCAGTGCTGGGCCCCAGTGTGCTCTTGTGGAAAAGAGCAAGGACCTCGGCAGCCTTCCCCAGCCCAGATGCCCTGCAGTCCTGAGCGCTGACTCGGTGCCCTGTTAGTGCTATGGTGTAGACCGTGCCTCTGGATTCGAATTTCAGTAGCCAGCAGGCCATGGTGCAGCGTACATACCACCCGGAGGGTGTGGGCGGGCCCCAGCACAGCCGGGCTCCCTGTTTGCTGAATCCGGTGTCCCTGTCCCGGGGCAGGCCAGAGTGGGGAGAGTGGTGGGGAGGTATGTCTCCTCCTCCTGGGCAGAGGACTGGGTCTGAGCTGGGTGGGTGAAGATACTCCTGAAGAGGAGGGGCAAGCCTGGGCAGCGGGCAGGAAGGAGAGCCCAGCAGCCCTCTGCCAGGCCCCCCTTAGCTGTGTGACTTGAGCAAGTCACTCAACTCTTCCCCCCTTTTCAGGTCTTCAGCATGGGATGAAACAGTAGTTCATTCCTTGTGTTCTTATGAGAAGTGAGTGAGGTAGTGTCTGTGAAATGCCACAGAATTGGGTGCATGGGGACCCTGTATGTGCAGGCTGTTAGGCCAGGAGGCTGGAGAGCAGTCCAGTCAGGGTTTTAGAATACATGTGTTATGGTTTAGATCCAGTTTGTCCTCCCAAAGCCTCATGGCTTCCACCTTGATTTCAGAAGGCCTGGGAGGCCAGGCAGTGTGCCCCTGAGAGGGCAGTGGGTGAAGCCACAAGTTCAGTGGAGACCCCAGGAAGCTGGAGAAGCCAGGAATGTGGATCATCTGAGGTGAGTCCCAGGCAGGAACATAGAGATCTTGAGGGCTGCGATGGGCAGTGCTGCAGAGGCACGGCTGCCCAAGCCCTGTGGAGCTCATACCTTGTTATAACGCCCTGGGGGCTGGACACAGAGGTACACGATTTCGTGTTTGCCCTGGTGGGTTTCAATCTTGCTTTGATCTCATTCTTTACATCCTCCTATTTCTCCCTTTTGGATTGGGGATGTTTACTCCATGCCATTGCATATTGGCAGCATTTAACCTTCTTTTTTGATTTTTAAAGGGCTCACAGCTAAGAGTTTGCCTTGAGTCTCAGAGAAGACTTTGGACTCGGACTATTCAGTAATGCTGGGACTGTTACGATATTGGCGACTCTTAGAGATGAAATAAATGCATTTTGCATAAAGACAGGCACGTGACTTGGGGGCTTGGGTTGGAATATTATGGTTTAGATCTAGATTCCCCCCCCACAGTCTTGTGTGAACTGAGCTAGGGCTTTGGGGGGGTGGTTGAGTCATGGTGTGCTGTACTCATCTGAGGATTCATCCACTGGTGAGCTCGGTGGCTGAGTGTGCTGTTGGGAGGTGGAGCCTAGAGAAGAGAGGTCACGGGGCGTGAGGTGGACAGGTCCCTCTCCCTGCCTGGCTCCTCCCTCTCTCTGCTTCCTGGCCACCGTGATGTGAGCAGCTTCCTCCACTCAGGCCCTTCCACCATGCTGTTCTGCATTTGAGCCTGCCGACCGTGGGCTGGAACTTCTGTAGCCAGGAGCCAAAGTAAACGCCTCCTCTGCATTGTAGGTATCGGGTATGGTGTCTTCGTGGTGGGGGAAGCGAGTAAGACAAAATCCACTGGTACACGAGGGTGTGCTTCCTTCCAGGCTTCCAAGTGTCCCTGAAGGGCGAGTCCATCCCCACCTTTCAGGTGAGTAAACCGAGACTCTGCTGCTGGTGTGCCCACGGCCCCACAGTGCGGCAGAGCATGCTGGACTGAGCCCTCCCTGAAGTTCTGCCTGTCCTGCCCTGCGGCACACCTGCACGGGTTCTCGTCCACTATCCTGGCTCTGAAAACAAGGAAGCTGAGGCACGGAGGGGTTGGGGGACCTGCTCGGGACTTGGGCCCAGGCTCTTGCTCCAGATCTCAGTAAGCTGTGACTCTCGAGGAGGAGGGAGGGAAGAGAAGAAAGGAAGGAAAGGATGGGAGAGCGGGGCGAGGAAAGGAGGGAATAGAGGTGGTAGCGGCTGATGGAAGGACCGAGAATAGGCTGTTAACAGGGAGAGAATAGGTCGCGGCAAGTAATGCACGCGGACGGAGGACAAAGACAGCGGGAGACGCCGGACAGAGGAAGGAGGCCCCTCTGTGAGCCGAGGCCTGTCTCCCTTGGGAGAAGGTCCTGGGGAGGGACACAGACCTTGTGCAGGCCACGGCAGTGCAGCAGTGCCACCAACTGGTGGAAGTTTCCCTCTGTCACATTCAGTGTCTCCTCCAAGGACAGCAGAGGCTTCTGTGGTGGGAGGGGGCCGTTACCCCACCAGCTCACGAGGCTACCCATCAACCCGGCCCAGCCCAGCCAGGGGCCCCACCACCATTCCCCTGGCTTCACCCCATCTAGCCAACCCGTCCCTTTGGTGGGTTCCACCTGTACCCCACGGGGCCGCCCGGGCCCTGTGGTCCAGTCCACTGACCTGTGCAGATGGGAACTGGGGGGCAGCTTCTCGCTCCAGGCCCTGTAGCTGGGCGTGGATGTTGGCCAGAGCTCGCTGGGACAGTGTCAGCCTCTGGGAGAAGACAGGAGGGAGGACCCATGGCCAATGCCCTGCCCCCTTCCCATGGGGGTCCCCACTTGTAGGCCCCTCCGTGCTGTTTCCCTTGCCCACAGCTCTCACCTGCTGGAAGGGGTTGGAGATGGCCTGGCTGCACAGGAAATAATAGTTCAGGATGTCTGCATCAGAGGGGGAAGGGGAGGCTGTGAGCCTGCACCCCAGGACCTTCCCTGGGGGAGGTGGGAGGGCAGAGCCCAGGGCCACTCCCAAGCCCAGCTCTTGGGGTTCTGGGGACCTCGCTCTCGCCAAGGCACCTGGCACAATCAGCTGCGCACATGTGCTCTGCCCCTTCTCCCACGGCCTCCGCCCCAACACCTGTCCTCTGACACCAGCATTGTCACCCGGTCACTTTCTCAGCAAACCAGAGCAGGTGCCGAGCACTCTGGAGAGCCGTACTGCCCTCACCCACCCAGGAGGACGGCCCTGGGAAGCCTGGGGAAAGCGGGACCGAGGCAGTCACCTGAGCTGAGCCCTGTCTCCTCTTGGGTCAGGTTCAAGACGTAAGTGTCTGGATTGGAGCAGAAGTCGCTGAGACCCTGGGTGAGAAAGCGGGAGGGTCGCCAGCGCCAGATCCTCAACATCCGCTTCTGGTCCCCGGCCTCCTCCTCAGGCCCAGGGTCCAGGCCCAGCCTCCTCCCTCAGACTCAGAGGTTCAGGCCCCAGCCCATCCTTCCTTAGAGCCCAAATGTCCAGGCCTCCTGCCTCTGCCCTCCTGAGACACAGGAAACTCTCCCCAACCTGGAAACTTCAGTTGTGTCCCCAGTCTCTCCTCTCAGTCTCCAGCGAATATCGGACCTCACCCTGCCTAGGACCCAAGAGTCAGGGCCCCAGAACTCACCACAGCCGTGGCTGCCTCTAGGCCCATGGATCCCCAGCTGAGGACAAGCACCAGGAGACTCACGGCCGTCATCCTGGAGGGCGGCATGGGGTTGGCCTGGGTCCTAGTCCTTCACGTGTCCCCGTCGCTTCCTGCACCCAGTCCTGTCACACCCCACCCCACCCGACCAACCTCTGGAGCTTGGAGAATCCAAGTTGGGGCAGAGAGAGATGGGGGCCCACCCCTCGAGTGGCCCCGGGAGCCGCTGGCCACTGCTCTCAGTTCTGTGGGGTGCAGGACTTCCCAAGCCTGCGCACAGTGCCTGGCCAGCCGCCCTCTGCCCCATCTGCGGCTCCGAGGCGCGGGGTCGGTTCCAGGGCTGAATTATGTCTCCCCAGGCTGAGTGGGGCTGGGGGTGAGCACTGAGGGGCATGGTCAGCAAGCCAGAAGGGAACTGGGGTGCAAACCAAAGGCCCGCCCACCAGGACAGGGAGGATAGAGGGCTCTCCCAAAGTTAGGCTGACCACTGTGAGTCCCAGCTCTAGCACCTCCCAGCTGTGTGGCCCTGAACAAGTGACCCAACCTCTCTGACCTCCAGTGTCCTGTTAAACAAGGACAGGAGCACCTGCCTCAGGCTGGGCCGGAAGAGTGGCAGTAGAGTGAGCTGTTAAACCCCAGGGAGGGTCCTGTGCGTCACCACCCCACAGGGCAGCCTCTGCTGCAGGCCCTTCCACTCCTCGGGAGCCTGATGGGGAGCCAGGGTGCCTGACTCAGTGGATAGCTGGTGAGCCTCAGCTTTACTGCAGGGGCGGCTGGTAGGTTGCCCACAGTCCATCCCAGGACTCGTCCAGCCTTCTCTCTGCACTCAGCTGCAGAGGGATGGTGCTCCTTGCCTAAGGGAGCCACCCGCAGAACGCTGGGTCTGGCAAGCACTGAGGAAGCCTGGCCAGGGTCCCTCCCCGGGAACAAGCCAGCGGCAGGCTGCCCACACTCACACAGCCACCAGCCACTTGCTCTGCTTCGCCAGGCCCAGGAGGGTGAAGAGGCAGACCAGGAGCTCCAGGAGCAGCAGGAGGACGTACGCCAGCCACCTGGGGGAGGGCAGGGGCAGCAGAGCTCAGGACAGGCCAGCAACACCCTCAGGTCACCTGCAGCTCGGCCAGCCCTGACTGGACCTCGAGCTCTGTGACTGGATGTCTGACCTGGCCTCTCCTCTCTGTATCCCCTGCCCAGCCCTGCAGAGTGGAGATAGCTCAGCAGGCACCACGATCTCATTGAACAATCATGGGGCTCAGCATCTAGAAGCAGCCCAGCCCTCCACTTAACTAGCCTGATAGCTATCCCAGGGCTTTAACCTCCCTGCTTCAGTTTCCCTACCTGTAACACAGGGAGCACAACAGTAACTGACTTTCAAAGGTGGCGTGATGAATGAGTCAGTGCACGTAAAGTTCTCAGCAGAGATGCTGTGCAGCGACTTACATGTCATCCTGGGCACGAAGCGGGGGGCTTTATGGTCCTCAGTAACTAACTGGATGTAAGAGAGTGATTTCCCATGATTACAGGGGAGGAGGCACGGTTGCCACAGCTCGGTGCCCAGCACACCGGAAGTTCCCGGCACACTGGAAGTACCCAGTAAACAGTGCCCTTTGCAAGGGTCCCAGCTTGGCCCTCACCCCGCACAGCTTCCCACACTCTCCTGGAGGCTCTCACCTGTTTGTGGAGGACACCCAGGTGTGGGCACTGTTGAGTTGGGGTTTTTTTTTGGTACCGGGGATCGAACTCAGGACCTCGCACCTGCGAGGCAGGTGCGGTGCCACTGAGCTAAATCTCCGGCCATGTGGGCACTTCCGGAGTGGGGCATCCAGAAGATGCTCCCTGGTGACCATAGCTCTGCCCTGCCCGGGCACTGTCCACACAGCTGTCTCTCCCCCTCCTATGCCCTGCTCCCGCGGCCCTAGGCTTGGCCATGGCACAGCACCTCCCTCAAGCCCAGGCCTGCCTGCCTCCTGTTGTCTGATGCCCCACAGGACATGCTGTTTCAGCCAGGCCGCAGGAGGATCCAGGTTAGGGTCTTCAGCAGCTCAGCCCCCAGCCCAGGGCAAGTGAAAAATAATCCCTAACCTACGAAGCCGTGAGGACCCCACCCTGCTGGCTGCTGGAAAGGGCGGCCACTCCAGAGGGCTCCTTCAGTCACCACCTCCTGGGTGTGGCCCTCCCGACCTCCAGACAGAACTGCCAGCCCGGCCCGTGTTTAATTTTCTCCGGAGCTCTCACCACCCACCACCTAGCAGCAGCATGTTTTGCTCTCTTGTGTTTGCTTTTTCTTGGTGCCGGCCTGTGGCTGGGCAGGACTTCCTGCCGTGCACCTCCTCCCCCGGCCCACGCCTGGCACGTCTGCGTGTTAGGGACACCTTTCCGCGCGCACCATGAGCACTGCCTTCCAAACACTCAGCAGGTACAGACTCACCCTCCACCATCCCAAGGGCAGCGCTCCCACAAGGCTTACTTCCCTGGTGGGGAAACTGGGGCACTGGGCTGGAAAGTAGTTTATTTGAGGCCACGTGGTTAGGGAGTGGCCGCCTGGAGCTCAGGTTCCTAATCACGCTGCTACTCCCTCCCTCTCTCCCCAGAGTGCTAAGTGAGTGAGTGGGTTACTTGCCACATCAGTCCAGGACTGACAGCACGCGCAATTTGCGCAGTTAGCCAGGAATGAGTGAATAGAGAGCGGCCGGCGGGGCTGTAACTGGTGAGAGAGGGAAAGGGTGACTGTGCGCGTGTGAGACAGCCAGGTCACAGGCCCCACCGAGACGAGACAGCAGGCTCTATCAACCCGTGGCACTGACCTCGGGCGCTGCAGTACTCTGTCGTGGAGGGCCGTCCTGGCCCTGTGGCATGGGGCACAGCGTCCCTGGCCTATACCTACCAGACACCAGTTGTGACTGCCCAGACTGGGGCTGACCAGTCTGAGCCGCTGTGCAGCGGGAGGGCGAGGGTGCGCTCACCTGTACTCCTCCACAAAGGACACGTCTTCGGCCACCTGCAGAGGGCTCAGGGGCACTCCCTGCCAGAAGGCCAGCCCCTGCAGCTGCTGGGCCACCGCCTCTGCCTGCCGCCGAGCCCCCCGGGCAGCAGCCACCAGCTCTGTGCGTGGCGTCAGCACCTCCTCCAGGGTGGTCAGTTCTGAGCGCACCGCCTTGTCCAGCCCCTCCACGGTCTCCAGCACCTGGGGAGGGCAGGGCCTCAGGTCTAGGGAGGGCGTCCCAGGGACAGGTTTGGGGTGAAGCAGGATGAGCAGCAGCAGGGGTCTGAGCCCTGAGGAAGTTCCCCGGGACTCAGGTCCTATCCTAGGAGGCCTGTGCCTCTGTCAGGTCTCGGATGAAGACCCCAGCCTCATGAGGGACTAGGTTTGGGGTCTTAGGTCTGAAGTCTGCCTCTGCCTTCTGGTGTCTGGGTCTCAAGTCTGGGTCCTGGGTCCAGCACCCAGGGGTGCAATGCAACCAGACAGGAAATCTAAGGTTGGTGACAGGGCTGCTTCTCAGCCTTGGCCTGGAATCTGGCCTGGGGGTCTCAGGACTGGGGTCCCCAAGCTTGCATTTGGGCCAAGGATCGATCAGGTCAGGAGCCCTGGATCCAGCCCAAGGACAGGACCTGCAGATCCCTGTGTTGTCTCTGTCTGGTTGGGGCTACGAGTTGAAGTCCAGGCCTGGGCCCGAATGTGAGTCCAGGTCTGGGTCTGAGCCGATGTGGGGGCCGGTGCAGGCTTCTGAGGGCTGGACACAGCCCGAAGGCTGCACATCTGATCGTCACTTCTGAGTCTGTGTCTTGGCTCTGAGTTTGGACCCCTTTGTCCTGGAGTGTAGGGCCCCACACATAGGTGCCAGCTCAGGTGTGGGGCAGGGTCTGGCCAGCGGCTGCCAGGCCCCTCACCAGGTGGTCAATGGTGCTGAGTGTGTGGTTGGCATGCAGCAACGCCGCGCTGAGCTGGGACACTCCATCACTGGTCTCGCTGTTGCCATAGAAACCAATGCCAATGCCAGCACTGAGAAGAGAAGGACAGAGAGGCGATCTCAACCGGTCCAGGGGCCCTGGGGGCCACCGACCCCCACAGGCACCCCTCATCGGCCTCCTCTTCCCGGCCTCCCCTTCGGCCCATCCCATTGGTCCAGCCCCGTGGGAAAAGAACGGCTCCAGCTTACCCACCCAGTCCCAGTCACCAAGGTAACGGGAAGGCCTCACTCCCCCAGCCTGAGAGACGTCATTGTGATGCTAATGGTGGGTGGAGGGGTGGAGGGGAAGGGGCCCTGGATGAGGGGAACTCGAACCTCCCCAGAGCGGAGAGGAACCTGGACGAGAAGTCACCCCTCCCCATGACGACCTGCCCCACGGCCTTTGCCGGTGTCCAGCAATCTCCGCACCGACCCGGGAGCGCAGAGGCCTCAGCCCCTGCCCCTCCAAGGTTTAGGCAGCCCTGACCTTCGTCGTCCCGGGGCTCCTCCCAGGGCAGGGACCCAGGCACCAGCATCTCCTGGGGGACACAGCTCTGAGCCTCCGAGCCCCACCCAGCAGCCCCAGCATCAGGCAGACTGGGAGAGGAGTATGGGAAGGCGGGAGGGAGGACAGGGGTTGGGCCAGCAGTGGGGGGCCCCAACCCGCGGACACACAGAGCTCCATTGTGGAGCCTGAAGGTGGGGGCCTGCAGCCCTCCCCCGCCCTCCCACAGCAGCCAGGGGCGCGAGCCGGCAGCCCTCAGAGTTCCCAGCCTGGCCATACGGGCCCCACCCCCGCCCTGGGATGGGTGCCCAGTGCCCCCAGCCGCATTGTTCGAACGGACAAAGTTCCCCTTGTTCCCAGGCTGGAACAGTGGGGTGGGCTGGGTCTGTCGCCCACTGGGCCTTTGTCCACCTCACCACCCACCCCGACTCTGGAGAGCCGGGCGAGGAGGCACCTTGGGTAGAGGGTGCCCAGCCTCCAGGCAGCCCCAACACACGCCCTCTGCCCCCACCGCCAGGGAGTGTGACTCAGAGCCCAGGCAACCTGCTGCGGGAGCCTGGGGTTCGGGTTCCTCACTGCTGGCCGTGGGCCTGCGCGCCCGGGCCCCCAAGCCCCTAATCCTCTATCTGTGCACCTGATAACTGTCCTGGCCCCATGGGAGCAGCCCCCGGGGCGGGGAGGGGGGCTGGGCTTGGGCCTCGGTACCCGAAAGTTCAGGGGAGACCCTGGCTGGGAGTCAGCCCAGCTCAGCCTGAACCTCCGCTTGCTCCGCCTCCACAGCGCAGCCCTGTGACCTTGAACACTGCCTCCCCTACCTCTCTGAGCCTTTGTCTTTCAAAGCGGGCACAACGGGGAGGCCCGGCAGGTCCAGTGGGAAGGGCCCTTCGTGAACACCTGGCACGGTCTGCCTCCCTGACTGGAACACAGGCTTCGAGCACAGGGCTCCTGGGCCACCGAGTCCAGTGCTGGTGTCGGCTGAGGGGCACTCACAGTCACTGCCTGAATGGGCGATCGCTAATGATCACTCACTGAGGACGGCCCAGAGCCAGGCCCTGTGCGCTCACCTCGCCTTGCTGTTCCAGCTGCTGGCTGGTACTGCGAAGCCCACTGTAAGATGGGGCACCTCGGCCGGAGAGGCACATCGCTGCCCAGGCCACACTGCCCACCCTAACCGCCCTCGGGAAGGCCACTTATCCCGCAGATCTCAGTTCCCCCTGCTCCACCCGCACAGGTCGGGTGGGATTCTCCTTCCTGTCTGGGGCCCCCCACACCCCAGGACCAGGGCGGGGAGGGTGGGAGAGGGCAAGCGTGGGGCCCCTGCCCACGCGCACCACCCTGGGGCCCCATTACCAGCCGACGAGGAGAGCGGCAATGCAGCTCCAGGTGACACAGCCTCCCCCGGGCGGGGGGCTCTTGGCCCCGGGGGGTTCGGGGGACCGGCAGCAGCAGAAGCGGATGAGGTAGACAGCGATGAAGATGAGGCTGAGGGCCAGGCCCAGGCCCGCCAAGGCCGCCACCAGCATCAGGGCCTGGGGAGGGAGACACAGCCTCAGAGGGCCCCGAGTGTCCCTGGCAGGGGCGGCCCACGCTGAGGACTTTCAGGTGTGTGGGGACAGATAGGGTCCCGCCCTCCTGAGGGGCATCTGGGGCTCCAGGATTTAGGCTTAGACTGCTGGGGGGGCTTCCCACTGGGGAGCCCAGGCTCCAGCTCTGCGCTGTCCCCCCACCCCGCAGCTGTGCACCTTCCCCTCTCTGGGCCTCCCCTTCCTCCCCTGCAGCTAGGCCCTGGGAGAGGAGGTCTCCCACAGGCCTGCCGAGGCTCCCGAAGGTGTGGGGTCTGGAGTGGGCACACCCAACCCTGCGGGGTGGGCGGAGGCTCCCTCTTCCCTCCTCCCTGCTCCCCTGATGCTGAGCTCACACGCCCACCACTGTGAGTCTCCCCCAGGGACCGGGGGGCGTGGGGACAGCGTGCTCTGTGACAGCCAGTGTGCCTGTGTGTGTGAGCACGCGTGTGTGTGCACTCAGAGATGGGGGCGGAAGGTGAAGAGTGAGCACAGGGAGGGGAAGAAGAGACAGAGATGGAGTGGAGAGGGCAACAGCAGCACCGAGACAGGCAGAGTCACAATCCACAGGAGCCCGGAGCCCGCCCGGCAGATGACAGTTCCTGTGTTCCTGTCCACCAGAGGCCCGGAGTGGGGCGGGGTCTGCCTGGTGACCTGGGCATGAACAGAGGGAGGGGGCTCCCTCCCCTAACCGCCCCCAGTCTGCCGTGTGTCCCAGTGTGTGAGGTGTGCTTCTGCCTGGGGGATTATGTGTTGTCGTTGAGCTTGCTGCCATGCGATGGGGAGACCCACGTGTGAGCGTGAGTGTGTGTGTCATGGCGCGGAGGCTGCAGGGGAGCACTCTGGAGGGCATGTGTGTGTTCCCGGCACAGCTCCCGAGTCTGTGGGTGGGGCCTGGTGGCATGTGTGTGTTTGGGAGGCTGAGAATGAGCACAAGTGTATGAGTGTGTATGTTGTGTGCCTGTATGGGAGCATGTGCAAATAAGAGTCAATATTTGTGTCCTGTGTGAGCGTGTACATGTGTGAATGTGGGACTGTGGATGTAAATGAATGTGAATGTGTGCAAGTGCGTGCATGTTAGGTGTGCATTAGCACGTGTGTAAGCATGTAGGTGTATGTGGGAGTGTAGCAGACATGTGTCAGGTGTGTGTGTACTGTGTACGTTCACGTATTTGTGTGTACATTCCTGTGTGTGTATGCATGCAGGTGTGTATATATGCATGCATGTGATGTGCACACGTGAGTGAGCGGTGTGCGTGCACACGAGTGCGTGCGTACGTGTATACTCACAAGTGGATGTGTAAGCACAGGTGACTGCGTGTGTGTGAGTGCGTTATGCGACTGTGTGCCCCTGTGGCCCTGACCCTGCGCACACGGCGGTGTCCCGTGTCCCGGCCGGGGCCCTGCGTGCACCGAGCTGAGCACACCTCGCCTGGCCGGGCCCCTGGATGCGGGGGGCGCCGGGCTGAGCTTGCAAGCGGCGGAGGCGGCGCTGTGTAAGCGCCGTGAGCGTGACCGGGCGCGCGGAGGCAGAGGCGGGAGCGCGACTGCGCGGCCCTGACCCACATAGCGCGGCCGGCCGTGGCGCTGCCTCGCGGAGGCCCTGTCCTGGACGACCCGGCCGCTGAACTGCGCCCCGCACCCCAGCCGCGCCCGGCGGCCCGTCCGGCCGCTCACTAATCTCAAAGTCAAAGACTTGCGTTAAACTGGGTCAGGGGACAGCGCTCCCCGCTGGAGCTGCCGCCGGGCCCCATTCCCGGGCCCCGCTTCCCAGGTCTCCCCGACGCCCGCCCCTTCGTCCCGGACGCCCCAGCCCCTCCCCATTCCGGGTCCTGCTCCTCGGCGGATCGGCGCCCCTTCCTCCTCCCCACGGCACCAGGTCCACTCTCCGGGCGCGCCGTATCTGGGGCACACTCGCCTGCTCCGTCCTGTGGGGGAAGGGTCCTCCCTGGACGCCCCCGGCACGGCTCTGGGCAGGTCTCGAGACCCCGCGCCCCGCTGGCCTGCCCCCTCCCCCGGCCCCAGGACTCGGGGTCCCGGCCCCAGCCCCCCGACAGGGGTCCGACCCTACGCCCGGCCCAGGGGAGCTCCAGGCGCGGCGACCTGCGCTCCTCTCCCTGAGACACCCCGAGACCGCCGCCGGCCCCTCCCGGCGCGCCCCACCTGCTGGTACCCCTGCTCCTGAGGCGCGAAGCCGCTGGGCACCGGACGCAGCTGGAAGTCGGCGCGGGGCAGCTGGTGCAGGAGGTGCACCCAGGCCGACGGCCGGTAGCCCGGGGGCGCCCCCATGGCCCCGGGAGGGGCAGAGGGCCAGAGGGAGCCGCAGCCGAGCGGGGCGCGGGCGGAGCGGGGTCTGCGGGCTCGGGGAGCGAGCGAGAGGCGCGGGGCGGGGATGGGGCTCGGTGCTGCCCCCGGCGGCCGCGCGGGGAACTGCGGCGCGGGGAGGCGCCACGACTCGCCCTCCACCTGGCCTGGCAGGTACCGGGCTGGCGTCAGGAGGGTGGCAGCCTTCCTCGACCGCAGAAGGGCCGGGCTCTGTGGCGCCACCTTGGGCCAGGACGACCCCTGTCTTTACGAAGCATCTTCAGGGCCTCATGAATAGCTAGTATTTGCGTAGCAGTTTACAAGTCATGGCCAACGCATCAGTGAAAACGCCCGCTCCCTCTGACCTGCATGAGGACATAGCTTCTACCCACATAGCTTCCTGTGTGCACAGGCTACTGCACACGCACTTGAAATCCGGAGCCAGTGCAGGGGCCCCGCCTCTCCATGAGGACGCTGGCGGTGCTCTGTACAGGGCCCCTCCGTCTCTCGAAAGGATGCGTCCAGTGTTCAAGATCTCTCCCAACGAGGGAGTGCTTCCCTCCGCATCAGGACCCCGGGCCTTGCCCCTCACGGTACACTTTGCAGGGTATTTTCAGCCACTACCTGCGCTGAGTCTCCCTGAACAACTAATGCCTCACAGATAGGCAAGGAAGAGGAGCCTCGGCGGGGGCTGGACGCCGTCACCAGGCCGTGACTCTTGGAGCTAAAACCAGGGTTCCCGAGAGTCCTGCCCCGGGGTCCTCCCTGCTGTGGAGCCCCCCGGGGGGTTGGGATTGGAGGGAGGGAGAGAAGGCCGTGAGTGATGTTTGGTTCCAGAGGGTAGAAGAGGGCTAGGGATGGTGATGGTGACAGCGACGGTGGTGGTGATGACGGTGGAGACTGGGCAGAGGGAAGGGGCTTCCCCATGACACACCCTCTCACATTCACCATCCCTCAGATCTTGGCCAGCCTCTTCGGTGCTGGCTGCAGTCGTGTCCTTCACCAGCCCCAACCAGGCGGCCTGCATGGGGCTTGGAAGTGGAGAACAGCCTGCGATGCGCAGCTGGAGCTGTCCTCCGTGCCCCCGGGCCAGTGCTGCCCAAACTCGGAGTCTTTGTTTCCCTATCTGTCAAATGAGGGGATAAACATTTGTCAGTGCTAAGTGTCCCTCTGAAATGGGTGAGGGGAAGCCAGGCTCTGGCTTGGACAGTGGCTGGCATCATGCCCACAGGCTTCCAGACCCCCGAAGTGAGGGTAAGGCCCAAGCGCCTGTGAGTAGGAAGCCATCTGAGGGGCTCGTGGAGTCTGCAGCTGGAGCACCCTCAGTGGCTCCCCGCTACCGGTGGGACCAGTCGGCCTCCTGGCCCAAGCTTGTGCACCATCTGCCCTGTGCCCACCACCCTGGAGGCATAAAGGTCCGCGGTGGTAGCTTTCCAGCTGGCAGGCCCGCAACCCACATTGAGAGACAGTTTCACATCCTGCTCCACACGCACACCACTCCCTCCACTCCCCTCAGTGAAATTGCGTGAGTCCCTGCCTCCCTCTCTGCTCCCTCGTCCCTCTGCCCTTTCTCTTGCCTCTGTCTGATGTCTCTCCCCTGTGTGGCTGGGCCTGAAGGTGAGCCTCTTTGGAGGATGGCTTTAGGCTACACCAGTCAGACCCACGGACCCATGTGCAGATTGCTGGCTCGACCTTTCCCTGCCACTGCCCCGTCTGTGCCTCCTGGGAAAGACAAGTGCTTACTCCACGGCAGCCCTCTGCAGCTGAATACTGCTCCAAAACCACCTGAAGCTCCACAGGTGCTAATGCGGGGCCGGGGCACCCGTGAACCCCCAGGAGAGGCTGGCTCAGACCACGTGACTGGTGCCTACTTAGCTCCAGACAGTGCCTGCCATATGGGAAGAGGGACCCTGCATTGCCAGATGTTCCAAGTTTCCAAGAGAAGACATAAATCTGGGTATTTTTAAACACAAAATCCCTCAGCTTTTAAATGTTAAAACTAATTCAAACACAAAAAAGCACTGTGTGGGCCAAATAAAATCTGCCCGTGGGTGGGCTAGAGCTGGCTGGTCTGTGAGCCTTGGTTCAGCCAAGTGCGGAGAGGCGGGAGGAGGAAGAGGGCCCACGGCAAAGCTGAGAAGCAGCAGCTGGAGGTGTGGGGGTGAAGCTGGGGAGAGGAACCCGCGCCACCTCCTGCAGGAAGCCTCCCGACCGGCTGTCCTAACAGGTGGCCGCATCCTGGGTGGAGGATCCCGGGTGGGCTCCCCACAGCTTCGACTCTGTGGGGCCTGTGCAGTGGAGCTGTGAGGGCACCAGGAGCGATCGCCAGTGCTCGGTCCTCCATGAAGTCAACCAGCAACAAAGGCAATCAGGCCTTAGTGACCTGTGTGTCTTATAGACATTCATTTGAGTGCCCGTCATGTCCCAGGCTCTGCGTTATGCTCTGAGACATGGAGTGAGGAAAAAGTCTCCCATCGGTACAGCAGATGTTCCTGGAGTGGGGAAGGCAGAGAGCGCGCCAATGAGTGGTCAAGTGCAGCCTCCACTTTCAGCAGAAGAAACAATAGCAGGCACCACGCGTGTGCTGGCGGGAGTGGCTGCCACCCATAGAAGATGCTCGGGAACGAGCCTCCCTCCACGTGGGGCATTGGAGCAGACTGAAACGAAGGATGGGCACAAGCAAGCTCGGGCCTCACCTGGCCCTCCTGTTCACCAGCCCGAGACCTAGACCGTTTCTTCAACTCGTCCTGCCTCAGGTTCCTCACCTTGGCCTTAGCGGCTTCCACTGGGCGTGTGAAGGCTCAGCGTGTGGTGTGGGCAGAGGCCACAGAGTGAGCGCGTAATGTGGCTTAGCTGCCTACCACTGACCCTGAGGGTGATGACGACTTTATTACTGTAGTGATACATCCTCCAACTAGGAGAGAATAAAGTGCGCAAATCCACAAGTACAGATGCCTTCTATTTATGACTGGGGTAAGTCCCAACAACCTCATTGTGTGCTGAAAATATTGTCAGTTGCGAATGCACTTAACAAATGCACCCAGACCTGCAGGACGTCGCAGCTGGCCTGGCACCCTCAGATACGCTCAGAACTCGTACGTCAGCCACAGCTGGGCAGACCACCCCAACACGCGGCCTGTGCCACAGCGTCGTGGGCAGTTTATTGAGGACTGCACTGAAAACAAGCAGAATGGCTGTGGGAAAGCATTCACACCTTCGTGAAGCTGAAACTCCGTAAGCGGCCCTCGTTTGGGGATCAGGTGTAAGTAAGAAAGTGACCGGGAAGCATTGAGTAGATGAAGCTACCTAGTTGCAGGTGTCCAACTGCCGTCCTTACAGCCCTTCTTGCTCTCCCTCCTTTTTTTTTGCGGTACCGGGGATTGAACTCAGGACCTTGGGCTTTCGAGGCAGGCAGCAGAACCACTACAGCTAAATCCCCGGACCCCCTCCCTCCTTTTCTTCTCCTTCTCCTCCTCTTTCTTTCTCTCCCTTCACCCTCTTTTATTATTAAGTTTTTGTTGAATACCTAACAGTTGTCTGGATCTATGTTAAGTAATCCCTGAATAGTTTCTTGATCTCACTGACTGCAAGGAAGAGACAGTGAATTAAAACAAAGAAACAAACAAAAAGAACTTTATATGCCCTTCTTTCCTTCCTGCCTGCCTGCCTTCCTTCCTTCCTGTCTTCCAGCCTTCCTTCCTTTATTCTTGTAAATGGTCATTGAGTGTCTGATAGCAATCAAGCTCTGTGTTAAGTAAGTCCCAGGATCTATGAATTTAAAAAGAAAAAGAACCCATTCATTCATTCATCCATCCATCCATCCATCCATCCACCCATTCATCCCATGTCTTTATTGGACACCAATATCCTAGGCAACAATTCTTAGCCTTTAGACTCAGTGCTGAAGAAACCAGCTCTGCTCTAAAGGAGTTTATTTTGGTGGCAGAGGGGGACCAGTAGGGAGCAGACATGTAGCCATAAGCAGCTTGCTAACAGGGCTGTTGTCACAGCTAATTTTACATCGCCTTCTGGCCTAAGGGATGCCCAGGTAGCTGGTAAACTGTTGCTGGCTGTGTCTGCAAGGACGTTTCCAGGAGAGACTGCATTAGGGTCAGTAGGCCGAGTGAAGAAGAGCACTCTCCAGTGTCAGTGGGCTTCGTGCCCTCTACTGAGGGCCCAGATAGAGCAAAACGGCAGAGGGAGGGCGGGGCACTCTGCCGACCTTGGACATCTGCCTTCTGCCACAGAAGTGGCAGCTTCTGGCTCTCAGGCCTCCAGGGGCTTGGACTGAATGGCACCACCAGCTCCCCTGGGTCTCCAGCTTGAAGGCAGAATGTTGTGGAACATCTCAGCCTCAGTAATCGAGTGAGCCAAGTCTCATAATAATCCTTCCCTGATTTATCTACCTGTTTGTCTGTTTGTCTTTCTGTCTGTCTGTCTTTCTGTCTGTCTGTCCGTCCATCCATCCATCCATCCATCTGTCCATCTGTCCATCCATTCACCCATCCATCCATCCATCATATTGTCCTGGTCTTTGGAGGACCTTGACAGAAACAGCTGGGCCCATCTGCTACGAGACACCAACACAGTCATGAAAAAGCCTGAATGCAAAGACTAAAAGGATGAACACGAGCGTTTGCACACTGTTGGCGAGGGTGAAATGGCACACACACATTAGAGAAGGGCCCGGCAGTTTCCTGTATGTCTAAATGCACTGTGCTCCAGTGGTTCTCTCAGA